GGCGAGATGGAAGTGAAAGAGGATTGCCTGGCCCGGTATAGTGACCTGGTCCGAGCACTCCTAAGGGAATTGGAGGAATTTCGTCTGACCAGGATACCCCGGTCAGAAAACGCTGATGCAGATATGCTTTCAAAATTGACGCAAGCTTGCCCGGAGCATGTGTCAAAATTGGCGAAAATTGAGATACTGGAAGTGCCGAGTACAGACCGGTTTGAAGTCGCGGCCATCCAACCAGGCCAGACTTCAGCGACCGGGATAATCGGAGCAGATGATGACTGGAGGTACGAACTCATGGAGTATCTGGAGACCGGTCAGAAGCCAGACGACGAGGAACGAGCTAGGAAAGTGATCCTACGGGCTCCACGTTTCCAAGTAATCGATGGTCATCTATACAAGCGTGCCATTGGCGGACCACTCTTGCGTTGCCTTACCAACCCTGAAGCTGAACGGGTAGAAGCCGTTTTAGAAGTATTTTAGACATTTTAGGTAGGATAGAAGAATTTTATAGATCGAGTGCACAAAAAATTAGGGAAAAAATGTTTTATGAAACAGAGGAAAGTATACTATTTAGTCCTATTAGATGAATAAACATAGGAATACATATATACTTGGATATATAAACTCAATTTTTTTATCTAGTTTACCAAGATAACTAGATAAGTTAGTCTGTACAAAATGTGAAAGGAACTTGGCATAGTGACAATAAAACCACCTCGTCTCAGACTTTCTTCACATCAAGTGTTCGAGCTGAGTCTCACTCATTCACTTAAAAGTTTGAGATTATAAGATTAAACAAATAGTACACTAATAGGTTTGAGAGCTACTTAAAAAAGTTATTCTACACAAAATAAGAGCACGGATAATGGCAAGGCAAAAATGGAATACCACACGCGCTGATGTGGAACATTTAAACCAATGAAAAATAATCTAACCAACTTGTGTCAAGTGAGTTGAATGAGAGGTCATTTTTTGTCATAAATTACATTTTTTAATGTATTTTAATTATTAAAACTTATTTTACTTATTTTTTCAAAAAAAATTGATGTACTCTTTAAATAAAATACTTCATTCTTGTAAAAAACATGAAGTCGTGCTCATGCCTCGGCCGGCAGGTGTCACTCCACGATTTGTAGGGGAGAAAGGTGAGGGGACAAGCGTGGTAGTGGCCTCTCCACGCCGATGCCAATGCTTTAAGTCTATATTTTTACTTAGTGAGACACAAGTCAAATCACACGAAAAAATAGAACCAACTTATTATATAGGTCATCTTATCTCCAATATAATGGCCGTGATGCTCAAAGTTCCAAACGACAGAGAAAGGGATGTTTATAGGTGCCACAATTATATTTTAGTACTATTTAAGTAAATTTATCTTATTTATTATGTTACACTATGAATGCTCTTATGAAGTATAAATGGACTACACTTTCATATGGTAATTATAGAAATCTTCATCATATATAAATGGCGTACATGTTTGATCCATGAACTTCAACGTTAAACCTTTCTTCATCTCTCTTAATTATGAGTAGTTTCTTTAATTTATTAATGTAATTAAAGTTGTTTCTTTATTGCAATCCAAAAACATTTATTATATTGTTTTATCGTCACAAAAAGAAAATAGTCAAAACTCAAAATACGTGTACCCTCTAGCTAGGCAATAATAATGTAGCTAATGCATTGCGTATATTTTTAAAAAAATTCGTGCAATTTGTCAAAAAAGATTAATTTTAGAGAAGGGCGGAGTATTAATCAATGATGACTTTTATCAAATCAATATATTTATATATCCAAGGAATTATTTCTTTTTAAGACTTTGGTCAAACTAGATTCATATTCATGCATAACACGGTAAGAAAAATATTTTTAAAGGCTTTTTTTTAAATGAGAACAATTATTAAATTTAATGATATAAATCAAGTTAAAACAAAGACTTAAAAAAAGAAATTAAAAGTACATTTATCTTGATATGATGATGCATAACAATTTGAATAACTACACTATTTGTCTCAAAAAAAAGTGGTTCATATACATTACTACTTATATGATCAAATTATATTTTCCTTCATCACATATTTTTAATGACTTTTTATAAAAAATTAATTAGTCAAGTCACTTATTGTTTCATAGAATATTTGATGTAGTTTCTAAATACTCTTATATTTTTTTATTTTTTTTATTATACACCAACTTTCATATAAATTGAATTAAAAATTTGATTTCAAAATTAATTAAATTTGAAGGTGCAATTAAAGAGGTGAGTTCGGATCGGGGGCAATATAGAAAGATATATCAGAGTAAGAAAGTTCAACTTTACGTACGAGGAGCCTAATTTGGACCCCATTGACCCCGTGCCATCATAGTTGGTTATAAATTACTCCGTATGAAAGTTCGGTAAACGGGTAAATTACTGCGAGAATGCTTCTTTGGTGCAACTTGAGTGCATACCATTATAGTGGATCTTCTCACATAAAAAATCTTTTTTTATATGTTTATAAATAACAAATGCTTATTTAAATAATAAGAAAATATTTATTTTACTCACATGTAGGTCCATATTTAACCTTAAGTCTACCATAAAATTTATCTACTGCGAACGGGTTTACTAGAAGCCCAGCGCTTTGCTTAGCGCAGAAGAGTCCAATAATGAAGGAGGCCCATCCGATCCAAAAAAAATTAGATTATTCAGGATATGGGCGGGCCCGATCCACTAAGCTAGGATCTTCACGAAATTTCTAGTCCTTCTACGAGGTCGTTTTACCTTCTTTTTTTTTTCCCTCATCAACGGTCGCTTTAATTTTTCACAACGGAGAGGAAGAAGATCCACAATTATGATCGCCAGGTGCGCCGTTCTTTTTCTATCTCTTTTTTTTTTTTTTTTTTTTTA